TTAGATTCTGGTTTCCAGAGCTTTTATGCAACGAAAAGTCATTGATTTTTTTTATCAAAGGATCTGATAGAAGTTTAAATATATGATTTCACAAGTTCTTGTTGTGTTTGTCATGAAGAAATGTACACACACACTATATTACCTATTCTCTTGTATGGAATCATATCTTTATGTAGGAGGCAGTCTTTAACTGTTGGTGTGAAGTCTGTCTCTTCAAATTCTGCTCAAGTTAATTTTCACCATCTTAGTTTTAACAATTTTTACTGTACATATGTACTTGTTATAAATATTTAGCCTTAGTTCTAAATAATCATACTGACAAAAACCTTATTCAATGTTGATGACTGTAATGTATACTATAAGAGATTTACATTTATTTTTGTAAAGTAGCCTTGATGACCAAAATGTGTTATTTATTCTGAACTATGCCCAAGAAATGTAAGTCGAATAATGTCAGTTTGACTTTGTTTCTTAATGCATAGGTCTGTGCCAACCATAACATATGATGGTTATGTGCCCCCCCATCTTCAGTAATCCAGTTTAATACATTTTGGTTACAGATGTATGTGTTATTTGTGGAAAAGAAATATGAGAAAGATATTATATTTATTTAAAGTTGTACTTTCCAAACAAAGTATTATAAATTTTATGTTATGTTTTGTCCGTTGTTGGGCTTGAATGGTGTTCACCGAAATATTCAGAACGATAATGTAGCAGTTGTTCTTTGCTGGTGAACCTTTTATCATATTTTGTGCACCATGATGTCTAGCTTGACATCACGTACGGTCTCATTGACATGAATCTGCTTTTCTATTTTTATTTATTTTGGTGCCTATCTTTCTGTAATCCGTAATGTCTTGTATGAAATTAGTTTTTTTACAATAAACTGTATATTTTACGTAAGGGAAGCGTTTCTCTCTCGGTTCGAACGGCCTTCTCTAGACGTGGGCCTGCTCGCAGGACTCTCCCTCTCACTCGGCTGCTGTGCGGCTGGGGGTGGCTGCGAGCCGAGCCGAGCGCGGTCCGGCGGCGCGGCGCGGTGGCGCTCGGCTCCCCCGCGTCAGTCGCCGCCTGCTCGCCCGCTCGTGCGGAGCTCCCCAGCCTCCCGACGAGAGCGCCGCCCGCCCCGCCCCGCTGTGCGCGCCGCGGCTGGACTCGGATTCGCGAGCGGGACTTCGCGCGACGAGTAGGTCGCCGACCGCGGCAGTGGCGCCTGCGTCCTCGGCTACCCCGGGCCATGGGCGCCACCCCCGCGCCGCTCGGAGCGGGCCCGCGCACCAGCGCCCCCACCGCGCCCGCCGGGAGAAGGCCGACGGCGACGTGCACGACCCGGCCGTCCGGAGGCCCTGGCGCGCGACGGGCACCCGCGTAGCGCCGAGGACCTAACTCACGCCTTGCGGACTAACCAGCACCATGCAGGGCATGCTGAAGAGGACGTGCTACTACAACCCCGCCGTGGAGGTGGGTCTCCGCCCCACACATCGCCTCCCCCTCCGCATCGAGGTGCTGGCAGCCGCGCTCCGCAGAAATGATAGCATTTACTCAAAGTGCGCAGCGCGGTGCCCGCCCCGCCCCGCCCCACCCACCCCACCTGTTGAGGGACGCGGCGGGCGGGGTGGGGCGGGCCCGCAGCGTCAACCACTTCCAGTCCGAGTTTGGCCGCGCGCCGCCACCCCCGCTCCCTGGGGGCCCCCGCCCTCGGCGCCCCTGGCCCTGCAAGCCGCTCCTGCTTGCTTATCACAATAAAAAGACCTAGTTTTGGTTCTGCGGAAGCAGCAAGGCGCTCGCACACTACTTCCCGCTCCCCCTCTCGAGTTTACAGTCTCAGGATAAAGTTCGCTCAACAAGTTAATCCCCTCAACGGCCGCCGTGCCGCTTCTCCTCCCCGAGACAACAACTCGCTCCGCCGGGCAAACTAAAATCGCATTCTTACCCAACTCAAGATTCTTATTGTGGACATCCGGGGCATTTCTGATGATACCCTCTCTTTTTGAAAACATCGAGCGCCTCATCCCCGGAACTGAAACAGCGCCTGTTCCTGAGAGTGTCGCTGGCGCTGCGTGTACGCTATAGTGTACCTTTGTGCCACACACAACAACAAACTGGGCTGGGGCGGCGGGTGGCGCCGGCATCAAAGGCGTAACCTCATCAATAATAAACAAGCAATCGAAGCGAGATCCGACTGGGCTTGGCCACGGCCTGGGCCAAGGCTTAGAGGCTCCTGTTTCCTGAAATCCGTCCAGAGCAAACGTCGTTCTCTACCCCTTACTCTATTCTCTCGCCGTTTCTCTCTGCCTCACTATTCTTCTCGTCCTGCTCACTCCCCCATTCTCTTGCTTACTTTGTTAACCCAAGTCACGATGAAGTCACACACGCAAGCGCGCGCACGGTGACGCACACACGCACGCCCTTTCTCTACGTACGGTGACCAACGTCATATATTGCCATACAGTACAGTGCAGACTCCCCCGTATGACGGGCGCGCCGCTCAAGTTTCCAACAGCGACGACGGCGGCGGTGGCAAAGTTACTTTGCAGAGCAGGGCAGCCGACTGAGGTCCCCTTTAAGAAAACGGGGGAAAAATTAATCTCCTCATCTCGGTTGTTATCGTCTTATCTTAATTTACAAACCCGTCCGCATCAGGGGAGTAGAGATTATGCAAACTTGCCGGAGGCGGCCCAGGCCGCCCCCTCCCTGGCCCTAACTCTTCTTCTGATGATACCCACGCCCTTATTTTGCCCTTCCTAATTTCTGTTCCGGAGCCTATCTGCCTCCCTTCCGAGGGGAAGGGGACGGAGTGGGGGAGGGAGCACGCCGGAAAGCGTTGGCGGGTCGCCCCTTTACTATTGCACGATCTCGTCGCGTCTGTCATCCAGAAGCTGCCCCCTCCCCCCCCCTCTTCTCCCTTCCACACGGACCCCGCAAGCAGCCCCTCTTCAACCCCACAATCGCTGCAGCGGTGGTCAGGGCGAGTGTTATTGGACTTGTCAGGTGTATCGGCAGGAACATAAAGCAAAGTTGCCGCAGTGTCGGTGCGGCCGGTCGTCGTCGCCTTCCTCCCCCCGACAGTAATTTACCAACTCAAGTTTTCCCTCGGCCCTCCTCGGTTCTTCGCATCCGCAGCAGCAGCTCCGCCGCTGCGATTTTCACTCCCCGTTCTCTCCGTCTGCCCTTCTTGCTCTTGCATTTCCTCCGCTTCCCTCCGTCTTGAGGGCGGATTTTATCGCCATTAACGAGTAGGAAGATTGGGGAAGAAGACGGCAGACTTCTAGTGCCCCCAACTTGCTCTCTTCCCGCCAGCAGTTCTTTTTCTTCCGTTACTGTCGCGACGCCGCGCCGCTGCTCGTCACGGGGCAGGGGCGCGGGAATAAATAATAAGACGGAATAACGCGCCTGGAGCTAGCAGCTGCACTGCAAAGGGAGCCTCAAGTAGTTCGGAGCCTGTCACGGCGTTCCGTACAACTTGTAGGGAGGCCTGTGCGGCAGTGCAAGTTTCTTACAAACAACTGCTCTTCGTAACGTACAAAGGATTTGTAGCATTTGTAATACAAACAAATTCTTTATACTACGAAGAGCCTGGTTTGTATTACAAACAAGGCTTTTCGTAATACAAACGGGGGCTGTTCGTTATAACAAAATACTTCGTAATATGGCTGCTTCAAACGCTTTGTACGTTACAAACCGAATTCTTCGTAAAATACGAACACTGCTGTTTGTAAGGAACCAAGAGTCCAAGCCTGTGGAAAAGGCTTTTCTCGAACCTCGAACCGTTTTCTTACGTGCCACGTTCCGTACCTTGGACGACCCTGCAGCCCCTAATGAAGAGGGAAGCACCATGTAACAGGCTCCCGGGCCCTAAACGGAAATTACCGGGTAAACATTAGCAGCACTTTCCCCGCCCGTCCATTTTCCGCACCTGCAGTCTTATTTACAGTGGGGAGATGCGGGGCCGGGCTTCATTCTGGTTTCATTCTCTATTTTTTCACCTCCGCTTGTCCGTTATTTTGGGGGGGGGGGGGGGGGCGTTTACCACAAGCGTGCCCTCGCCCTCCTTTTTCTCTCACCCTCCACCATATACTCGGCTTACTTCCTTTATTTTGCACCCCCTTCCCCCTCCTTTTCCGCTCCCGCGCCGCAGCAGCCTTGTTCCTCCCTTCCCCTCCTTCCCCTAGACCGCGACAAAGCAATCAGCAGTGTTTTGGCCCCGCGAGTCTCGGGCCGCGCCACACCTGCGTCACCTGCGCCCGCCAACGCCGACGTCAAGCTCAACCCTCAACTGTACGCCTCCGCCACGCTGCTCTATCCCTCTAACCTTTCCCTTGCCACGCAACGCGCCGTTTCTCCGTTGTTACCTCTCTAACCTCCGGCTTGTTCGGTGGTTCGTCTCCCTATCCGTCTGGCTCATGCTGGGGTCGAGCAGCGCAGGGCTGAGCAGAGGGATGTGTGCGGCGGCGGGGAGGGGGCGGGCTGCGGACCCTGCGGACGTGGGAGCCAACGCGTGCGGCGTGCGGTCCAGTCGGACTCACACAGAGAGTCCGCCCTGCCGCCACGCCACGCCTGACCAAAACCACACTAGCTTTTGCGGGAATGTCGCACGACCCGAAACACACGCTAAGCGCGTCGCCGCGGCAGAGCGTGGCCTGTGGTCGACCAGTCGGTGGCCCGGGGGCGTGGGAGCTGCAGGGCGCGTGGAGATGGGGGCGGGGGAGCTGAGGGATGGGGGAGCTGAGGGCTGGGGGAGCTGGGCGCGTGGAGCCCCCAGGCCGGACGATAACATGTCCACCAGTCGCCTTTATTGCCTGCATCTCCTGTTTAGGCGAAGCGAGCTGTGAGGGAGCGGGCCGGGGGGTTGAGCCCTTCGCGCCTGGCCTTTCCTCACCCATCATCCATCGCCGCGGCAAAAAGCCACCGCCGCCGCCCGCAAAACCAGGGTTTGGGCTGCTGTGTTGGCATAGCAGCGGTTGAGCGAGGTGGAAACTGGGAAAAGTAGAGCAGGAACAACTGCTGCTTCCCCCAGTCTATAGGCTCGGCATGAACTTGGTAAAGTAAGGCTTCGCGTGCATACCGCCAAGAACTCGCCCGGAGCGCCTCGCCTGCCTGCTGCTCTACGTTTTATTATCCCCACTGCTTTCGTCTCTGAAAACTATGTGGCTACATCATATTCCAATATCCTAAAACCCTTTATAAAAATTAAAAGTGAAATTTGAACGCAATTCTCTCAATAGAGACAAATTTTAGTCTCTTTGCAAATTTCGACAGATGCAGGCTTGAAAAGAACAAAACAACGACATTGTTTGACATTCAAAAAAGGAATACCAACATTTTGGTATGCAAAGTGGCCACAGCGTTTTCAGTGGTCTCCCGTCGCTTAACGCTGCGCGCCGGGGCGGCCGCAGGTGTTGTCGAGTTCACCTGCCAATCTCTGTCCACAACGGCGCCCAATCCACCAGCGCAGTCCTGCCACTGCTATTTACACACACGCTCGCACACTCTCACACACGTGTCCTGCCCGCCCGCTGAACCACAATACGTTCCCAAAAAACATAACAGGCCAGAGCCCCCCGCGCTATTTTCTTTTTCTTTTAACGCTTTATCTCTGCTACGCATTGTCAAATCATTCGTACCCGCAGCCCCTCTCCAGGTTCACCCCATTCCGTGGCCATTACAAAAAGTAATCCAAATCCCTTTGTTTTTTAGCCGATGCTTTTTTGGGTTCAGGCATTTCACTTTGCAATGCGTTCCAATTTCGCACAAGAAGGTTTTCGGTCGGTAGGACACTGTTGCAAGTGCACGTCGGTCTACACACTTTGGGGAGTCCGGCGCCGTTCAAATACTGCGCTGGCGAGGCGGGGGTCGGGCCAGGGGCCACACAAAAGTATTTCCATCTGTATGACTTTGCTTCTTATTCTCCGCCCTGCCGACTGCCTTTGTCCCTGCCTCGCCGACTCTCCCCCAGCC